TATTCTCACCCTTGAAGAACTTGCACACTCAGCTTTTTATTCCATTTTTCTATCAAGAAGATGGAAGACAAAAGTTAATATGAGCTTAAGTTTTTGTGTGACTGTTTTATGAGTTCCTCAAGGCATTTGACTAGATGGCTTACTGCCTGACCATGTTTATGCTTCATGTGGAACTGTTCCCAATAATCTGGTCTGAATCATTACCAGAAAACTAAAATTGTTGAAACTCTTATAATGTTTTTTCACTCTTCCATAGTTTTTAACTAAAGTAAGGCTTTAGAAGCTTTATCTATAAAGCTTGTTGTTGCCTTACCTATTGTCCAATGCTTTTATAGGAAACCATCATTTATGAGAAATATTTATGTAAAGGCCTGTAGTAGTTAAGGGAGCCAGATCCCACATGACTGATTGTGGTTTAAATACTGGCCCTTGCGGCTTAAAGACCACAGGTTTGTGTGTGTGCCCAGAATCCTGAAAAGATAGAGAATTAAAGGAGAAAGAATTGTAGTGTGGCCCCGCTGCATTGAGAGATGCTTTCTTTTTCTCTCTCTCTGGCAAGTGTGCATACACTCTGGCAATTAAAAAAAAAAGGTTGATGTATTAATCAAGTAAGATGCCATAGCCTCAGTCCCAGGGCAGTTGTCTATCATCCTTATGCATTCTTTGAAAATAGCGAATTGCTTCAGATCTTGAAAAATCACTTCCCAGGACCAGCAGTTAGCGTAATGGCTATGTCGCTGAACTCCCATGTGGTCAACCACGGTTTGAGTCCCTGACCTGGTGGCTGAAACTCACGCCGGGCACTTGTGCGTACATGCCCAAGGTCCCGAGAGGAGAATGGAGCACAAGGGTATTGCAGCGTGGCCCTCCCCCCCCCCGGGGGGGGGTGATTTCTCGCTTTCTGTCTCTGTCTTTCTCTGTCTTCTGGCGAGCGCATACGCCCTATAGCAAAAACCTCTCAAAAAAAAAAAAATCATTTCCCAATATCTTAGTTTGAATGACTAATCTAGTAAACTTCATTGGGTTTTGCTATGGTGACTGGCTGTCATAATCAACTTGAAGAGTATCTTATGTATTCATAACCTTGACTCCTTGTGTCACAAGGCCCAACTCACTCTGTTCACCTCAATGACAGTACCTTTGGTGATAACACCCAAAGTTGTATACAGTGGGGATGAGGGATTCTTCTTTATACCAAGTATTGGCAGGCAAAAGGTGGTTTTCAGTTCAGGATGTGTTACGTGGGCCTTCTTGAAACATAAGCCCATTGGCCTAATGAATCTTTCATATTTAGGTGGTTTTCTAGTAAAGCCATCTCCAACAAAGCAGACTTTTGTAACCATCCTCTTCCATGCCTTCTTTTTTTTCTTTCCTGTTCGAATAACTTTTAATACTTCTGTTTCTTCCTGGGCTCAAACCGCTTTCTCTTTCTGTTTTTGTTTAATCATATTGGAAAGTACTTTAGCTCAGGACTGTCCTTCTCTGTCCAACAGATAGGCAGGTACTGCTCCTTGTGGAATCTTCATCATTCTTTTGCTCGGTGCTCCACTTTTCATGCATCTTGATAGTCTTTTTCATTTGTATTTTCTCAGCATGGTGTTATTTATAATAGAGCTTAGCCTTCAGACCAATCATTCTTTTTGCCTTTTGTGAACGTCCATGAGCCCCCTGACTTTCCTTTCTCCTTTTCTCATGGTAATCCAAACAGTATCCATAGAGTTTACATGTAATTCAATATATTCATTTTGTGGCATGCTGTGATGGCTGAAGAGTCTCTGGGAGCAGCCTCACAGATGCAGAGAAGTTGTCAACATTCAGGTCTCACAGACCAACAAGCCCATAAGTGCCTTCTTTAAAAAGAAAATTCTTAATTGCCAAAGAGACAGAAAGCTTCCTCTTCAAGTGGGGTATGGTCATGCCACAACACCTTCTCCTTCCTTTCTTCATCTCACTAGGATTTGGGGCATGTTTTCAAACCCCACAGTCAACCATATGTATCTGGCTTTCTTAACCATTGAGCTATAGGGCTGGACTGAGTGCTTTTTTTTTTTTTTTTAATTTTTTCATTTAACTTCATTTATTTACTTATTTAAATTTTGACCAGAGAGAGAGAAAGAAAGTGAGATTTCAGGCCGCCAGATCTAGGACTTGAACCACAGTAGACCGTGTGGGAGTCCAGCACCCTTAACCACCACGCCACCTGTCAGCCCCTTACCTAAATGCTTTTCAACATGGTAGGAATCTTTTGGACTCATCCAAGAGGATGATAGACTCAAAAGTTGATGGGATTTTTTTTGTTTGTTTGTTTTTTTGGAGAGGTTTTTGCTATAGGGCACGTGCGCTCGCCAGACAGACAGAGAGAGAAATAGAGACAGAAAGCGAGAAATCAACCCCCAGGGGGATGGCCACGCCGCAATCCCTTCTTCTCCATTCTCCTCTCGGGATCTTGGGCACACACGCACACGCGCCCGGCGTGAGTTTTAAGCCACTGGGTCCAGGGCGCGAACCGCGGTCGACTACATGGCAGTCCAGCGACATAGCCATTACGCTAACTGCTGGTCTCAAAAGTTGATGTTTTAACAGAAGCATTAATTAAGGTTGTTCTTACTACCACCACTTTGCCTGTAGGACCTTAGTCTTACTTTTCAGTTGTGAAATGAAAAATTGAATAAAGATAATTTAGATTTCTTTTAGTTGAGCATTTAATGAATTTCTTTGCATTTATTTTTTAATTGATTAAATTTTTTTGAGAGGTTTTTGCTATAGGGTGTGTGCGCTCACCAGAAAGACAGAGACAGACAGAGAGACAGAAAGCAAGAAGTCACACCCCCGGGGGGGATGGCCACGCCACAATCCCTTCTCCATTCTCTTCTTGGGATCTTGGGCACACACATGTGCCCGGTGTGAGTTTAAGCCACCGGGTCCAGGACTTGAAATGCAGTCAACTACATGGGCGTCCAGCAACATAGCCATTACGCCAACTGTTGGTCCCAATAAAGTTTTTTTTGTAAAGACTTATAACCAGTTTAAATGCTTCTCATAAATTCTAATATATAGTAGTAATAATTCCCTGAAATCTGGACCTGTTTATATTTCTCCTATTCCAAGAGATATTTAATGGAATCTGTTAGTGTACTTCAACTTCTCCTCCATTTCCTGTAATTCTCTGGTTTATATAAGCAGTTGCTGTGTTTTTTCCTTTATTTGATGCATAGTCATAAATGTTACCTTTCTTGTCTTCTTTAATTGCTTTGCTTTGCCTGAATTCTTTGTTGGGTACATGATATCATCACCTGCTTTGTAGTTTTTCCTATTTGCCTGGTATGTCTTTACCCATCCTTTTATTTACTTTTTTTTTTTTTAAGGTTTTTGCCATAGGATGTATGTGCTCACCAAGGAAAGTAATAAATCATCCCCCTGGGAGATGACCATGTTGTAATCCTTTCTCCATTCTCCTGGGATTGGGGGCATGTACACACACATGCCCGGCATGATTTTCAAGCTCCCAGATCTGGAACTTGAACAGCAATTGGCTATGTGGGAGTACAGCACATCAACCACTAAACTATCTATTGGTCCTCTATCCCTTAAGCTTTTTTAAGATTATAGGTGTGTTTCTGCAAGTGCAGCATAAGGTTAGATTTTATAAGTTTTTTCTTCTGATAGGTTCTTTAAACTAATTGACATTTAATCTTATTTCTCATGTTTGCCATAGACTCTGTCTTTTTTTTTTTTTTGGAGAGGTTTTCGCTATAGGACACGTGCACTCGCCAGACAGACAGAGACATAGAGACAGAAAGCGAGAAATCACCCCCCAGGGGAGGTGGTCACGCCGCAATCCCTTCTCCTCCATTCTCCTCTCGGGATCTTGGGCACGCACGCACACACGCCTGGCGTGAGTTTTAAGCCACTGGGTCCGGGACACGAACCACGGTCAACTACGTGGGAGTCCAGCGACATAGCCATTACGCTAACTGCTGGTTCCCCAGACTTCTGTCTTTTTTTGTTCATTTGTTTGTTTAAGGTTTTTGCCATAGAGGCACATAAGCTAGCCAGAGAGACAGACAGAGACAGGCAAAGTGAGAAATCATCCCCGAGGCAGTACAGCCATACGCACAGGACAGGCATGATTTCAAGCCACCAGGCCCAGCCGTTGACTGTGTGAGAGTCCAGCGCCTTAACCACCACACAGCCTGCTGGTCCCCAACTCTATTTTATATTCTGATTACCGAGTATTCCTTTTTATGTTTACTATTTATTTCTCCACCTGGGGCTACTTGTTTTAGATTTCTGAGAATTTCGAAAGGTCTCTATTTTTGTTCAGTGATTTCTATTGTATTCGACCTCTTACAGTGCCTTTACTTTCCTGATTTTCAATATTTTATTTTCTAGTCTGTGTACCGAAAATGATATCCTTTATCTCCTGCCTTTTTGCCACACCTGGACAGATAATAGCCTATATTCTTATTCTACTTTTTCTTATCTCTTCTACTTTTTGCCTACTGTTCTTTCTTTTATACCTTGTCACTTACTTTAGTCATAGGTTTACAAATACCCACATATATACTCACCGGAAGTCCTTTTACCAAAGCTATCTCTTGCTGATTGATATTTGTCTGGAAGATTCCTCTGGAGAAGCACATGTACACAATGTTCTCTGAATGCTTACACATGCAGAATTGTTTTTCAATATATTTGATATTGAAAGAGTTGCTTGACAGAGCATAAAATTCTTGGATTTCAGTTACTTGATTGAGTTCTTTGAAATTACTGCTCTATTTGCTTTGTATGTTGTTCTTAGGAAGATTAGCTTTTAATGCCACTTTGCTCTGACTTTTTTAGTAGCATGGTAATTTCTTTGATGGGAGGTATTCTTTTCTAAATATTAAGATTTTATTTAATACCAAATGTTTTAAAGGAAGACATGGAATGGAATTTGTCATAATGACAATTTAAAATTAAATTCATAACTAAAATTATATTGTTTTCTGCTATTACAGGAATTAAAACCTGATGTCGTAACTAAATCTGCTCTTGGTGATAACATCAACTTTGAAGAAATCTGTAAAAAGGTATATTGGCAATGAATTACATTTGTTTTATGAGAAGTTTTTAATGTATGTTGCTTGCTTTTTTCTTGTCAGTTTTTTTAAAAAAGTTATTTAATTTTATTTGTTGCTATTATTTTTTAATTTGATGAGAGAGAGAAAGGGAAAGTGAGAAAGCAAGACACCAGGTCCAGGACTTGAACCAATAGTTGGCCATGTGAGAGTCCAGCAACTTAATTACTACACCTATCTGCCCTGTCAACTTTTCCTTTGAATAGAGAAAACATTATTATTATTATTATTATATTGGTAATTTACCAATTTGCCTTGCTGTGATACCATATCTTAAAGGTGCTTTAAAGTGTGTTGAACTTAATACAGCATTGTATATGTTAGCTGTCAGTTTTTTAACTTCCCTGGTTAGAGCTAAGAATTGTTGTTACTGTTCTTTGTCAATTATTTCCCTGGAATATCTCATTTGGTCTCTGCATTTATACTGTGAAAGACTTATTTTTACAAAGGAAGAAACTGGAGGTTTTCAAGATGTCCCAAAAATTCTATTCTTCCTAGAATCCTTTGTTAAAAATTTTATCCCAGAGGCCAGTAGGTGGCATAGTGGTTAAGGCTCTGGACTCCCACATGACCAACAGTAGTTTGAGTCGTGCACCTGGTGGCTTAAAAGTCACACAGGGCACATGTGTGTGCATGTCCAAAATCCCAAGAGGAGAATGGAGAAGAGGGATTGTGGCATGACCAACCCCAGGCAAGAAGATGTTTTCTCTTTCCTTACCCGCTGGATCACTTGCATATGGCCACACTCTATCATGAATAAAGGCAAAAAAGCTTTTTTGAAGAGTACAGATTTGGGCCCAGCGATGGAGGCACAGTGTTAACAATAGTCTCTGATGCTGAAGGTCGAGTGAAGGATAGCGGTTCTGTACCTTGGGTGTACTCTACATCTGGGAAGGTTTGGGGGAGGATCATGGTATGAAACCTTGGTGAGGTTGCTCATCTTTCTCACTCTCTCCTGAAAACTCCCCCAGGGCCAACCACAGTTCAAGTCCTGGACCTGGTGGCTTGCTTTCTCTCTCTCTGTCTCTCTCTGGTCAAATTAAAATATGTGAATGAATAACTAAAAAATTAATTTTTTTGGAGAGGTTTTCGCTATAGGACACGTGCACTCGCCAGACAGACAGAGACATAGAGACAGAAAGCGAGAAATCACCCCCCAGGGGAGGTGGTCACGCCGCAATCCCTTCTCCTCCATTCTCCTCTCGGGATCTTGGGCACGCACGCACACACGCCTGGCGTGAGTTTTAAGCCACTGGGTCCGGGACACGAACCACGGTCAACTACGTGGGAGTCCAGCGACATAGCCATTACGCTAACTGCTGGTTCCCCAGACTTCTGTCTTTTTTTGTTCATTTGTTTGTTTAAGGTTTTTGCCATAGAGGCACATAAGCTAGCCAGAGAGACAGACAGAGACAGGCAAAGTGAGAAATCATCCCCGAGGCAGTACAGCCATACGCACAGGACAGGCATGATTTCAAGCCACCAGGCCCAGCCGTTGACTGTGTGAGAGTCCAGCGCCTTAACCACCACACAGCCTGCTGGTCCCCAACTCTATTTTATATTCTGATTACCGAGTATTCCTTTTTATGTTTACTATTTATTTCTCCACCTGGGGCTACTTGTTTTAGATTTCTGAGAATTTCGAAAGGTCTCTATTTTTGTTCAGTGATTTCTATTGTATTCGACCTCTTACAGTGCCTTTACTTTCCTGATTTTCAATATTTTATTTTCTAGTCTGTGTACCTAAAATGATATCCTTTATCTCCTGCCTTTTTGCCACACCTGGACAGATAATAGCCTATATTCTTATTCTACTTTTTCTTATCTCTTCTACTTTTTGCCTACTGTTCTTTCTTTTATACCTTGTCACTTACTTTAGTCATAGGTTTACAAATACCCACATATATACTCACCGGAAGTCCTTTTACCAAAGCTATCTCTTGCTGATTGATATTTGTCTGGAAGATTCCTCTGGAGAAGCACATGTACACAATGTTCTCTGAATGCTTACACATGCAGAATTGTTTTTCAATATATTTGATATTGAAAGAGTTGCTTGACAGAGCATAAAATTCTTGGATTTCAGTTACTTGATTGAGTTCTTTGAAATTACTGCTCTATTTGCTTTGTATGTTGTTCTTAGGAAGATTAGCTTTTAATGCCACTTTGCTCTGACTTTTTTAGTAGCATGGTAATTTCTTTGATGGGAGGTATTCTTTTCTAAATATTAAGATTTTATTTAATACCAAATGTTTTAAAGGAAGACATGGAATGGAATTTGTCATAATGACAATTTAAAATTAAATTCATAACTAAAATTATATTGTTTTCTGCTATTACAGGAATTAAAACCTGATGTCGTAACTAAATCTGCTCTTGGTGATAACATCAACTTTGAAGAAATCTGTAAAAAGGTATATTGGCAATGAATTACATTTGTTTTATGAGAAGTTTTTAATGTATGTTGCTTGCTTTTTTCTTGTCAGTTTTTTTTTAAAAGTTATTTAATTTTATTTGTTGCTATTATTTTTTAATTTGATGAGAGAGAGAAAGGGAAAGTGAGAAAGCAAGACACCAGGTCCAGGACTTGAACCAATAGTTGGCCATGTGAGAGTCCAGCAACTTAATTACTACACCTATCTGCCCTGTCAACTTTTCCTTTGAATAGAGAAAACATTATTATTATTATTATTATATTGGTAATTTACCAATTTGCCTTGCTGTGATACCATATCTTAAAGGTGCTTTAAAGTGTGTTGAACTTAATACAGCATTGTATATGTTAGCTGTCAGTTTTTTAACTTCCCTGGTTAGAGCTAAGAATTGTTGTTACTGTTCTTTGTCAATTATTTCCCTGGAATATCTCATTTGGTCTCTGCATTTATACTGTGAAAGACTTATTTTTACAAAGGAAGAAACTGGAGGTTTTCAAGATGTCCCAAAAATTCTATTCTTCCTAGAATCCTTTGTTAAAAATTTTATCCCAGAGGCCAGTAGGTGGCATAGTGGTTAAGGCTCTGGACTCCCACATGACCAACAGTAGTTTGAGTCGTGCACCTGGTGGCTTAAAAGTCACACAGGGCACATGTGTGTGCATGTCCAAAATCCCAAGAGGAGAATGGAGAAGAGGGATTGTGGCATGACCAACCCCCTACGGGGGGGTTCTTTTTTTTTTTTTAATTTTTATTTTTATTTCAAGTTTTTTATACATTCAACCATGTTATTTAGCTTGCAAAGTGAATATTCCAACATGTGTACATTTCTCCACAGTTCAGTTGAAAATACTATAAAATTATCTTCAAAAGATAATACCCCATTTCTATGTCCCATTAATGCTTTGCCTCTCTATTTTTATTCTAAATGTCCTTCCTCAGACTAGACTCCTTCACCCACCCTCTTCCCACACTGTATCTGGTTTTTACAACCATTTACTGCGTTTCTGTATTTATTAGTCACTCAGTTTCAGTCAGTTTGTATGAAGTGGGGACATAAAATGTCTCTCCTTTACAGCCTGGCTTGCTTCCATAGTCATCCACTTTATGTCAAAAGCCAGGGTCTTGTTTTTTTATGGCTGAGTAGTATTCTGTAGAGTATATGTACCACACTTTTTCAATCCATTCCTCTGTTCCTGGGCATTTGGGTTGGTTCCATGTCTTAGCAATTGTGATAATGCCGCAATAAACATCAATGTGCAAGCACTTTTCCGATTAAGAATTCTTCTGTCCTTTGGGTAGATACCAAGGAGTGGGATTGCTGCATCATATGGTAGTTCTATTTGTAGATTTTTGAGGAATCTCCAAATTGTTCTCCACAGTGGCTGGACCAATTTACATTCCCACCAGCAGTGTAAGAAAGTTCCCCTTTCACTACACCCCTGCCAGCACTTAACTTTTTTTTTTTTTTTAAGCTTAGTCTTTCTGACTGGGGTTAGGTGGTATCTTGTTGTTTTGATCTGCATTTCCCTTACAATGAGAGATGTTGAGAATCTTTTCATATGCCTTTTGGCTATTCGTACGTCATCCTTAGTGGTTTTTATAACTCATTCTCCCATCTTCTAATAGGGTTGATCATCTTTTTTCAGAACAGCTGCTTGAGGGACCAGCAGTTAGCGTAATGGCTATGTCGCTGGACTCCCACGTAGTCAGCTGCGGTTTGCGTCCCGGACCCGGTGGCTTAAAACTCACGCCGGGCGCGTGTGCATGCGTGCCCAAGATCCCGCGAG